GCTATAAAAATGTGACGGCAATTCACATGTGCAACGGCCGTTTCAGTATTACGTAGCGGCTAGAGTGCAAGGTTTTGAAAAGCGGTTGCGGTCGCCGTAACGGTTGCGGTGATGTGGTAGCGATTGCGGGCTGTAAAAGTCATAGCGTAACGGCTGGATAACCGAAACCGTGAGTTTTTTTTTTTTTTTTTTTTGTACAATTTGAAGAAAACTTACAGATACGCTCTTTTTTTTCTAGAATCATTTATTGGGGTTTAAAATAAATTTTGATCAATTTTTGTCAATTTTTAAATATAATCTAATATATTTCATATTTTCAAATCACTATAAAATGAGTTTTTTTATATTTTATTTCAATCGTTAATGATTTAAGAATAATTGATTTTAGATGTCTACAAATTATTTTTTACCAACACCTGAACTATATTCACAACTATTAAATGAAAGGATTATAAAATAAAAATTGTGCCATAAATTTTTTAAAAAAAATTATAAAGAAAAAAAATTCATATGAAATTTTTTTTCTTTGTGTTTGCATCACTTAAGTATTTGTTCTTTTTTTTTACAAGCTTTTGTTTTTTTTCTTGGTAAAAGTAAGCTATTCAGAATATTGTAAAAAGGTGTAACGGTATCTAACGGACCGTTATGGCTATTACGTAACACCGAAACGGCCGTTACACATGTGAATTTCTGTCACACCACTGTAGCCGCCGTAACGGGTGGCGGTAACCACCACAACCGTTACGTAACGGCGTTAAGTAACAATTGCGGCCGCTTTTTAAAACCTTGTTTGTGAGTCTTTGTGTGTTTCAGTTATTTAAAAAAAAAAATTTGTGTTAATTGATCAAAAAGATTTTTGTTTCTAGACTCACTCTTCATGTTTTGTTTTATATGACATGTTCGATTTGTGTAATTCTCACTTCACTTTGAATATTTGAGTATTGATGAACATAATCTCATTATGTACACATTTTTATGAGGATATAATGTTTATTGATAGCTCATGAGAAATCCTGGATAATGTGTTAATTTTTGTGCATTAACTCTTGCGGATTGACCGTTACCAAGTACTTAAAAGTATGATGATGAGAGTTGAGCTGAAAATTTTTGTTGCTTTTGTGCTAAGCTCAAGGGAAAGGGCTACATCTAAGAGTGTGTTATATCTACCATTTTTCAGAGGATAAAATTCATGATCTATTGGATTCAGGTACCGCTCTTAGCAATGTGAAAGCCTCCTTCACATTGTTGTCAAAATAAAAATAAAAATAAAAAATGAAAAAGAAAGGATGTTATAGAAGTTTGAATGAAAGCTCTCTCAAAATTCATACGTATTTTGAAAACTCAAGGTTTGACTTCCAAAAGAGTGGCTCAATTTTTGGTACAAAGATGTTCAAATTTGATCTCTACATGGCATTGTTAAACATAGTGTTCTCAATTCACCTGTGTTACATGGACTCCGCAGTTGGAGGCAAAGTACCCATGTCGACACAACACGACGCGACACGGGTGCGGGTATGGGATTTGTGTCAGATTCGCCTCCTCTCTCTCGAACACGGCTAATCGAAAAGGAAGAAGAAGATTGAGATACTTGCATGGATGTGTTGGGTTCGAGATCGAGATTTGTTGGATCATAGCTTCATCGACAAGTGAATGTCGACTACAATAACCACATCATCTAGAGTTAGAACAGAGAGAGAGAGAGAGAGAGAGTCATAATCACCAAGTGGGAAGGAGGAGAGCATCGATCTGTGCATAATCACCAAGTGGGAAGGAGAAGCGAGCTTCGATCTGTGCGTATTTTTATTTATTTTTCAACTCTGTTGTGCGTATTTCAGAGAGAGGAAAGAGGAGAAAAAGGGAGAGAGAAGAGAGAAATGATATACAGCTGGAGATTTGCTAAGTTTGGCTAATGGGCTAAAACCAAATGAATAAAATAAAAGTTTGGGGGCCTGTGTTTTGTATTTGCCTTATTTCGTCTGGGCCTAGAGTCTTTTATTCTGGCTTATTTAATATTTTGGGCCTAAATAAAATAAGTTTGGGCCTATTTAGTTTTTTAGTGTTTTGTATTTGGCCAACATTTTTATTAAAATAAAAATAACTTATTTTATTATATAGAATATAATTTATTTTATATCTAAAATAATTTTTATAATTTTTATTTGTTATTTATATTTTATTTGTTTTTTTTTAACAAAATCTATTATTTATTCCTCTTTTTTTTAACTCATCTTCATAAAATAAATATATTTTTTTAAAAAAAAAACTATTTAACGTATCCCCGTACCCGTATCCAAATGTGGATCCATATCCATGTATCCTCAATTTTTAATTTTGAAGTGTCCGACCCCTAGATACACATCCGCACCTGATACCTGTACCCAAGTCCGTGTAACATAGCAATTCACACAACACACTGCCTTTGTATAGGATTTATGTTTGCCGGTATCCAATGGTTTTCAAGTGAGCGACTCTTTACACTTGTTGAACATTGTCAATTTTGGTAAAACTCTGTTTTTCAAAATTTTGAGAATGGAGATAAGATTCTTTTGAACCATTACATGTATATGTCTTGAGTGCATGTTTTTGTTTATTTCGTCCTCCTACTTTGTCATGTGTGTTATTTTTAGTTTATCTTGTTTTGGGTTTGTCAATTCTGGACAAAAAGGGAGAGTAAAAAATTGGTCTTGAATTTCGGGGGAGAGAGAAAAAAAATTGTGAAAATTGGTTGTGTTTTAGGGGGAGTATTTTGCTTAGGAGAGATTGTTTTGTTTTGCGTACTAATATTTCTTATGCAGGGGCGTATTTTGTGTTTTGTCACAAAATAACCAAAGGGGGAGAATGTTAGGATTTTCAATCCTAATCGTGTACATTACAATGCAAGTTGGCCATCTCATTCCAAAGACAAACTTGTGATTTTCTATTTATTCATTTTTGGTCTTTGTTGCTTAAATCTTGTGAAGGAATGACTTATGAAGTTTTGTCTCGGCATTGCCAAATGGGGAGATTGTTAGGATTTTTATCCTAAGAAATTAATAATTTGTGTTTTGGCAATACCTCTCTTGACAAAACTTAATATCATGATTATTGATTCAGGTTATTGTTCTGTTTTTCTTAAATTGATTTCTATATTTATCATCTTGTTTATTGTGCCCCACAGATAAATCATGATCATTCTTGAAATTGTTTTTTGTTTCTTATGCATGTGTTTTATCATCTTGGGTTTATAACGCTGACATTTTTCGTTCAAAAAGTGACTAGATGATTAAAAGCCAAAGGTAGCTGTGTGTATGAAGTCAGATTTTCATATCATGGAGAATCACAATGCTTTGATTACTAAATCTTGTAAAGGAATGACTTATGAAGTTTTGTCTCGGCATTGCCAAATGAGGAGATTGTTAGGATTTTTATCCTAAGAAATTAATAATTTGTGTTATGGCAATACCTCTCTTGACAAAACTTAATATCATGATTATTGATTCAGGTTATTGTTCCGTTTTTCTTAAATTGATTTCTATATTTATCATCTTGTTTATTGTGCCCCACAGATAAATCATGATCATTCTTGAAATTGTTTTTTGTTTCTTATGCATGTGTTTTATCATCTTGGGTTTATAACGCTGACATTTTTCGTTCAAAAAGTGACTAGATGATTAAAAGCCAAAGGTAGCTGTGTGTATGAAGTCAGATTTTCATATCATGGAGAATCACAATGCTTTGATTACTTTTGCATTATCTTTAGTAAAATAATCAGAGTTTATTATTTTGGTGGACAACTTGTGTCATCTTTTTAGCCCAAAAGGAGGAGATTTGACTGGTAAGCATGGAATTTGTGAAACAACAAAGCAGCACAGAAGTCCACAAAAGCTGCTGGAGAATACACGGTCACGCCCGCAACCATATCAATGGGGCCGCGATTAAACATACCGCGGCCGTGACCTTTACCTTCGCTCCTGTGGTTTGGAGAGACCGAAAGTCCAGCTCTCAATATTTTTCTCTGCAACCCGCTAAGCCATACCGTGCCCACGATGGAGTCCTGCCCAAGTCTATTTAAAGGCCCCCTGGCTGATTTATTTTGTATCTCTCATACTTACATTTTCTAAGCGTTCTCTTCTTCTCTCCTAAATACTTCCAACCTTGAGAGAGTTCATTTTGAGAGAAATATATTTTGAGAGATATCATTTTTGCAAGAGAGAAAATATTTTGAGAGTGCTTGTTTTGAGAGTGAACTTGTAGTGAGATTCATTTGTAACACTCTCATCTATTTGATGATACAATAGCCATAGGAGCTCAAAGCTAATCATCAAGTTTTTGAATAAGTTCTTCACTCCTTCCAAAAGTGAACCTTCGTGGTGGATTCTAAGATTGTGGACTTCGGTGGATTCCAAAGTCATTAGCGTTGTGACGATTCGACAACCGTGGTGGATATCCAGTGGAGATCGTGGAAGTACTTGTAGAGTGAGCAAAGACTTCTGCCGGTGAGTGGATTCGTGTTGCCTAGATTGGCCTTTGTAAGAGAACTCTTGTATTGCCTTTCTTTCGTAGTGGATTATTCGTCTGGTCGAGGGCCCGTGGTTTTCCATCACAAGTTGGTGTGGATTCCAATTGTGATTTTCCACATAAAAAATCTTTTGTGTCGTGGATTGATTTTCTCTTACTCTCTTATCTATTTTGATCATGGTTGCATTAGTTTTTAATTGGATTGTCTAAATCAATAATCACGTTAAACGGGATGCATCTAGATTTTCCAAAAGTATTTTCTGCATAAATCTAGATTTTTCAAAAATGTTTTATACTTATCGTATACTACCCTTTCAACCCATCTAAAAATCTTGGTATATTAAACCCCACCTGTGTAAGATTCCAATCCGACACCCGCGTACATGCAACTCTGTTTAGAATACACAAGCACTCATTACCACATAATGAAAGATATCTTGCACAGCTAACCCATCAGTCAATTACTATTATATTAGTTGGGGAATCATCCTATACAGCTGTACCTGAGGAGCACTGCCAAACAGATCCTCTGGAGTCGATGTACACAACAAGACTAGGTCCACATCATCAGGATCAACCTCGGCCATCTCAAGAGCTTTTTGTGCTGCCTCTACAGCCAGAGCTGTCAAGCTTTCTTTGCCTGTGAAAGCGCAAGTCAAACTGACGCCAATTACAGTTTGCATTACTAGGACACCAACATAGAGACACAGAGAGAGAGAGTTGATAAAGCCCCATAGCCCACCACATAAGAATTAATACCAGGCATTCATATATACAAAATTTGTGGAGCATCAAAAACAATCTAGTCTGCTTAGACAATTAGGATATTCAGAGCCACAAAAAGATGGATCACTCTAATCATTTTTTACATTTTATTTTTTGATAAGCAAGTTAGATCACTCTTTTCATATTGAGAGGTAGATCCCTCTTATTGTCTTATATCACTAAATGTCAAACCAATTTCAAATCCTGCCATATCTTTCAGATCATTAGAAAAATATATGTAAAGGCCCAAGCCACATCCACAACCCACTGCTACATAATCAAAGTCAATATAAAAGGTAATCTGCCCTGAAAGATAATCCTAGGGTAAACACAAATATCAAATGGTGAGTTTTGAAGCCACAATTTCTCTTAAATGACTCCCATAGAATCCAGAAAAGAAAATTGGGGACGTGACACTGGAGTATTATAATTTCTTTGAAATATACAAAAAAAATTAGAAATCAGCACAACTAACTTAGCTTAAGCTGGCTCCAGAATACAATTATTGGGTTGGGTTTAGCTTAGCTCAAGCATGCCAGGGTTGGCAGACTTCAAGACTGCCACAGTCTAATAATACAGTTAGGGTGATTCAGGCCCTAAACTTGTTCCATGCAAAATTATGAATTCTGCAAAAATCAATACCCAGGTAACCCAACCAACCCACCCTAGCCAGGCAAACAAAAATCAAGATGTAAGCAACTTAGTCTAGCTAAAGCTAAATTTCAGTCTTGTAATCAAAATGAAGCTCACATAATAGCAATAAGCAAAGCTACCAAACTGTTCATAAGACCAGATAAATGCCAGCAGGCATGAACTCTGAGGAAAAACTGACCTGTTAGAATTCGTCGATTACGGATCCCAGTGCGAACAGATATCCACTCATCTGAAGTATCAACAACTTTGGCAAGATCATCATTGGAAACCTGAAGACTTGGTACTGCAGAACCACATCCAACTAGTTTGCAGCCTTTGCTGACAAGCCTGTACAATTTCAATCCCAAAATCACAAGCAAGCAAATGATTTCTCCAATGAAGCTGATTTGAGATTTCCACATTCAATCCATTGAACCAAATAAGGATCAACGTGAAACATGATATTGCTGAGGTAAATGTTATGGACAAAGCAAGCGAGTTTGAAAAATGAAATGAAAACAACAGCCTTACAACAATATTCAATAAGATGAAATACAAATGAGCCCCAAATCAAAATGGCCTTGAACAAGAGACTTTCAATAGCAATAGCAGAGCTTGAACAATCCACATAAACTTATGAAGTATCAGCATGCATGCATACACATCATAACATACATTCACACCCATATGTACATACATGTATACATATATCTGTATTTATGCAGAACCTACAAGATTTAACATTCATACTAGCCTGAAATAATTACCAAGAAAGCCTAAACTTCAATTGTAGAAATTAGGATAAAACTAGATAGCTACCTGAATCAACTCAACAAGCCTTAGTCACAATTACTTGGGATTAGCAACATGTACCAATTACTCTAGTTGGCTTATTGAAGAGGCATGTCCTCAAATTCATGTACAAGGAAACCACATCCTTTCTCCCATAGCCTAAACCCTATCCTTGGCACCATCCTTGTTATTCCTGTTTTACTTTTGGCACCATCAACCTAAAGCACTCCTTATAGGTGCATTAGTTGGCCTATGTTGCACACTTCAAACATTTTTCCTCATTTAGTCTTAATTAGTGTCACTTCTAACTTCCCTTCGATGCATTCATATTTTCATTCTATATTTTCTAGTAAATCACTCCTTATAGGTGCATTAGTTGGTCTATATTTCACATGAACATCATCCTACTTCAAAGTTCACACGTTTTTTGACCCTCATTTGTCCAATTGGTGCCACTTCACCTCACCTCCCCTCACCCCCCCAAATGCATTCAATTTTCTCGATCTTTTCTAGCTATCTAACACTATATACCATGCAAAATAACTAGCTTAACCGCCTACTTTTGATGTAATTGTTGGCTACAAAACCAAGAATTTCCTCAAAAACCACCCTTTTGTTAAGTCCATAGAACACAATTCACAGCTTACAACAACTATGAGCTCCATCTGACCCATTTGTCCAGAAATTATGAGTGATGACAATTATTTACATATTACATTAACATTTGAAATCCTCATACCCAACAAAAAATTTTAAGTGAACTTCCCCTGTAGGAGTAGTCTAGATAGATTACTGTACATCAATCCTTTGAAGTCTAAGTGCCCATGCAAGAACAATAAAGTCTCTCTTTCTTGGTCCACAAACAACTTGGGTACTCAAAAATCAAAATCAGAGTGATACAACAGTGAAAAGACAAACAAGATGAGCACATAAGATAATCATCACCAAAGAAACCCCACATGCTCAGCATAGAGATGCCAAAACAAAACAATAAACCAAATAAGGTGAACTAATTTGATATCAAATCAAATTCAGATCAATAAAGTAATAAACTTTTCAAACCAATTGCACTTAGTGCCCATTTGATAGAAAGAAAAAGAAAAAAAAAATCATTACTTCAACAAAGTGATCAATCACCGAAATAGAAAGAAATCAAAGAGCGAACTCACCTGGGTACTCGAGATTCAGAAGGTGAAACACCAGAACCAAGCTTCTCTGAACCTTCGATGGTGCTGGAGCAGAATACCCCTTTGGAGATTCCCTCACCAGAAAAATACACAGATCGACACATGCCAATTGATGGAGGAATCGTCTTTCTCAGACCCGGAACTGTAGGTGAGAAGAACCCAGATGTTTTCGCCATTTATAGAGCGAGAAATGAACAAACCCAGAGAGAGAAAGTGAACAAACAAACAATCTAGTATCTGAAGCTTATTGATGAAAGACAAAGAATGCGAAGAAAGTATAGAGAACCCATGAAGGTTTATAGAGAGAGAAATTACGGAGAGAGAGAGAGAGAGAGAGAGAAGTGGGTTAAAATTTGAATTAATTAGAAGAAGAAAGACAGAGAAAAACAATGCATTGAAGGACTTCTCATAATCTACGAAGGGCTCGAAGATGAGAAAGATGGGCGATTGTGCCAAGCGAGATGGAGGAAACTCCAATGCAAACCCAATCCAACACACAAACATTCATTTTTCGACCACGAGAATCATGGACTGCTTGCTCCAATCCAAGATTTCATTTTTGATTTTTCCATACCATCTACTTAAAATAATATATATTTCAAGTAGTAGTATAAGATTAGTATATTAATATATATTTCAAGTTATATATTTCAAGTAGTATAAGATTAGTATATTAATATATATTTCAAGTAGTATAAGATTAGTATATTAATATATTTCATGTAGTATATATAAAGTATTTGATATTCAATAGTGATAGAGGCCTTGAATTCGAGTCCTCGAATTTGGCTCGAATAGCGTTTTTTTTTGGGGGGGCTGCTGTGTTAGTTTTTTTTTTTTTTTTGTAAGTCTAATATAAAATATTATACATTTCTCACCAACTCATTATATAAAATTATATGAAATTAACAAAATTTAACCAATAGTTTAATTAATCAGTCAATTTTATCACTTAATTAATCCAACTTAATTCAGTTAGACTGTTGGTTAAAATTCGTTAATGCTATATAATTTTGTACGATGAGTTAGAATAGGATGTCTAATTTTTTGACACACCCCTACATATAACTATTTTTAAAAAAAAATTAAAAAAAAAAAAACCAACACAACCTAACAAATAAAATTAAATTAAATTAAAAAAAAATTGATCGGTCAATTTTATTACCCAATCAGTCCAACCCAACTCACTTACAAAATGTCTAATTTTTTAGTACACCCTTATACATAATCACCCCTATAAAGAAAAGAGAGAAAAAAAAACTATAAAAAAAAAAAACCAAACTAAAACAGCTTTGGAAGAAAAGAAAAGAAAAAAAAAAAAAAAAAAAAAAAGATTTCGAGGCAAATTCGAGGCCTGAATCATTTTTGTAAGTAGTATAAGATTAGTATATTTTCTAATTATTTATAAAAAAATATGAGGTTAGATTGAAATAATGTGATAGAGAAATAATATGATCTAAATAAAAAATAATATAACTTAAATAAAATGATATATTATTTTAGCATATACCAAACAACACCTGAGTAATGTTACTTTGTAGGCAGTGGCAGAGTTATGGAGGGACTAAAGAGGCATGTGCCCCCTCTCAAGTTTTGCAATTTGTTTGTTTATTTATTTATTTATTTTTGCATATAAGGAAAATAATTAATCAATAAAAAATTTGTATAGAATAATTTAGAATGTTTTCTTAATGACATTTTTTTAATTTCGAAAATAATAATGGTTATTTTGATTAAAAACGAAAAAATTATAACAAACCACATTATTAAAAAAATTTAGTGCAACAGTGATATCAAATCATCACTGACATGCAAACACAGTTAATCCCACTACGAAAATGAGAAATTATTGAATTTTTAATTATATTTAACAAGTGTGATTGATCTTCCATGCGTTATTTTACTATTGATTAGCGATATCATATATATCGATGATAATGTGGTATCACTATTATCTATATATTATTATATAATCTATTATAAGATATACAAGATTCTTTTGCATTGCCTATAATACATTAGTTACAAATAACACCATATATTTCTAATTCTGATTTTTCACAAAGTCAATTGTAAAAACAAAAATTTTTAAAATTTTATATTAAATATTTAAGATTTTGTGCATAATATTAATTTGAAAATTATTATCTATTATTATTGATTATAAGGAAAAAAAATTCAAAATTTTAGTTGACAAATGCCCCTTCTAAACTATTTTTCTGGCTCCGCCACTGTTTGTTGGGTAAATTATGAATACACTTGTTTGAAATATGAATGGTTTCTTTTATAGTTTTGAAAATTACACTCCATCTCTTAAAGTTTTCAGTTTCATAATAAATGGTCTCTTTTATTAATAAACTATTTAGTCAATTAACACTATTTAATGATGTCAAAAATATATTCAATTAATAATTTAAATAATTTTATTACTATATATAAGAGCAATTGCGATTTTTTTTCAATTAATTCTATTAAATACAAAATTCTAACAATGAAATATTTGTAATTTTTTAAATCATAAGTGAGAGTCTTTAGTTTAAAAAAATTTCAAGAAATGTATTTATAATTTATCTTATTTTATTTTATTTTTATTGTTATATTGTAAATATAGATGAATGATGATACTCAATAATATGACATAGAAATGTAATAACAACAGCATTATTAGTGATGAGTGGAATTTAGGGATGTCATTCAGTTAATTATTATCAATATTATTATTTTATATTGATTGAACAAGGATTGTACAATTTTTAATAAATTGAGCAAAGAGAGCGAGAAAAAGACAAAATAAGTTTTCATATAAGAAGAAAAAAAATGTGTAAACATTTCAATGCTTAAAAAGAATGATAGCTCTTAACTATGTTTTTTTTTTTAAATAAAAATAAACAAATAAAATACAAAAATAAAAGATAACAATATATGTATATAAACAAAAAAAAAATGAAAATTACAAAATGATATATCTTCAAAACAAAAAACTATTATCTTAAAAAATTTAAATATATCATTAACATATTATTTTGAATGAATTTTTTGTACAAACTTTTAAATTTGATACGATATGTAATGACTCAGTGCCCCTGCCTGCCTCCAATCTTTCGTTCAAGAGGAGAAGTTGAGTTTGTTTAACTACATCTACATGCTTGTAAATTGAATAAAAATTAAAAGACTCCAATACTTGTGTCTATGGGTATGTCAAGGAATTAATGAATTATCTGGGATAATGTGGTTGGTATGGTAGGTACCAAAGATTTGGAGATTAGGGTAAAATGACTTTCTAACAAGAAACTATTGCAAATGTCAACAAGAATTATAACATTATTGTCATAAGGTTAAATAAAATAATAAGAACTTTTCTTAAGTGTGCCTTGCATATGGTATGCAAGGCATTTACGACCTTGTATTTACACCTTCTATGTATTGGGTTATACGACATTTTTTTGCATTTACACCTTGCATATGGTGTGCAACCTTAAGGGGGTTGCACACTTAAACATTACCCAAATAATAATAATAATGTGTAGTTAACATTCATTCAATGGGTGATAAAGATCAGACCAGCTTAAGGGTTAGGCCACCAAAACCAATACTTTAGGCCACAAATGTTATTAAGGCTCTAAATTTTTACACCTTATAGTTAAGGCTTATATAATTTTATCATTCTTTAATATTAAGAAAGAATACCTAAAATTGTTATTTTAAATGAGTAAATTTTATATAAATATATTTATTTTTTTCACTAGGTTTTTTTAACTAACCTGAAATAAATCTCTAAGGTCCCGTTTGATTGTCTGGATTGGACATAAGAGTTTGAAGAAGATATGTAATCTATCTATCTATCTATACTATATATATAACCAAATGTAGTTATTTTGTCAAAAACCTCCAAATATTTATTCTTAAATTCTCATAATTTTAAAACACTCTCTTTCCTACGTGGCAACCTTATTTGATTGCCTTTCATGTTTTCTATTTTTCTTCATTTTGTATTTGTTTGATTAATTAAAATTAAAATTAATTTCATTACTTATGGATAAAGATTTGAATTTCAAAATTCCTCCATATAGATAAACATATAAAAACTGAAAATTAATTTTATAATCTACAGATAAAGATAAAAAATAAACAATTAATTTAAAAAAATTAATTTCATAACTTATAGATAATTTAAAATTTCTTCCCATAAATAAACAAATAAAAGTTGATAAATAACTTATAAAAATTAATTTCATGGCCTACAAATAAAGATAAAGATTAAATAATTGATTTTCAAAAAATTAAAATAATATTTTTTTTTTAATTTTTTTATAAGGCTGTCATTCGTTATAGTATTTCTTCAATCCCATCTCTAAATTCTCTCTTTGAAATTTTTGTTTTTTCAATAATTAAGTTTAGAATCGATTTCTTATCAAATTTGTTTTCTTGATCCGTATTTTATTGAAGGATCGAGATGAATAAAACTTTGATATAATATATGAAATTAATGTATATAATACAAAGATGATAGGGAAGTACTACATATTTGTCAATATCTCTATGTTATTATTAGTTGATTTGCTAGATTATACTATCAATTTAGAGCCCATATGATTTAATTTAATGTTCATGACTCTATTTGTATTTGACCATTTTTTCGTTGAGTAACCGATATAATTTTTTTTTTGGTATATAATGATTAAAGCTATCATTTGTTATATTTTTTCAAGTACAATTCAAATAATTTTTTCTCATTTTTTTATAAATAAAATGGATTAAAACTATTCTCTTATATAATTTTTAGGAAAATGAGTGAGAGCACTAATTAGTGCTATCACTAATGATGTAGCAGTGGGCCCCACTAGGAATGATTTGATGTTTTGGCCTTGGTGTTATATATTTTTTTTTTTTTTTATTGAGTGCCATGTCATTAGTGACCTTTTTAGAGCTCCAAAATTAGTGGTCTCTATCATTGTTGTAATTTTTATAATACTATGACATTCTTATCTTGATTAATTTTTTTAAAATGATGTAGGAACTATACAAGTATTATTCAAACTATGGAGAATAATTTATACGTTGATATGATATGAGTGTGTCATTGATAGAGGAAATCAAAGAGAGAGAGTTGCTAATATAATCAATTAATGATTTGTTTGAAAAGTTCTTTTTATAAGTAAGGCAACAAACTTAGATTAAATTTTTTAAAAAACTACTTATAAATTATAATTAAAAGTTTATATTTATTCATAATTTGATCCCACAATAATAATATACACCACTGATTTAAAATTCCAAGTAAATTTATGATAACTTTTCCGAGCTTATAGAATTTCTCTCTTTTAATGTTTTGTTTAGTTTGATACAAGTTATTTATGTTACCAAGTGACACACAAAATATATATAGTCTATTTTTCCGTGCATCGCACGGGTTACCGCTAGTACTATATATAACCAAATGTAGTTGTATTGGCAAAAATCTCCAAATATTCATTATTAAATTCTCATAATTTTAAAACTCTCTTTCTTACGTGGCAACCCTCTTTGATTGTCTTTCATGTTTTCTATTTTTCTTCATATTCTATTTCT